TAGTTGGAGATATCCCTGTTCCTTGCAGGGGGGTTGGACTAGATGACCTTTGAAGGTCCCTTCCAGCCCTAACCATGCTATGATTCTATGATTCTATGTCTGCAACCTTTCTGGAGCTCAAGGTGTATACCTGTAGCATAGCATTGAAGACTGAGTATGGCCTATATTATTAGGAAAGGTACTTACTGTAAGAAAACAGGTAGGCGTGAAAGAGAAATGCAAGAAGTAAAGTTATCATAGATACATCTAGCCTTCACTAGATTACAGAGTGGCTGGTAGCAGATGTGTAGAGACGTGTAATAACAGAGTCTGTGCAGAGCAATCATTCTTCTACTAATCTTACCTTCCTGACTTCGGGTGTTCAGTAGGTAAGGAAAGTATTTGGGGAGGAGAGTGTTTATAAATAGTTGACTGCTAATGTTGCCTCCTTGGTGCTTGTAATGAGATGCAGAGAGGCTATCTGAATTGGCATATCTTTGGACTATACCCTAGGTCGTCTCCCTCTCTCTCTCTCCCCCCACTTCCTTCCCTCTCTCTCCCCCCCTTTGCTTTTTCTTCTCTAGTTGCAAACAACATTATCAATGAGTGCACTAAACCCAAAATCTCTTTTACAGAGACAGAAATAATTAGCCATCTGTATCTGACTGTGCCTTCCTTGTATGTGTGCTATTCTAGAAAGATTAGATTTCAAAATATTTTTTTTTTATGCACACTGTCATTTCTTTAATTGTTCGATAGTCCTAAACATTTCTGAATTTGAATTAACTACCCCTTCTCATGTACACACATTATGAAGGAAGGCAGTTACATGGCCAGATGTTTCCCTATTCTGTGAAGTTTAAGCTGCTAAAGAAGTAGAAGTAAATCAAGTTTTGTGTTTGTTTTTTGAAGAGTTCCTGCTTATGCTAAATATGATCATGAAAAGTGGGGGGAATGTATTAGAATGCTGCTGCTGTTTTTTCCTAAAAATGCATTCTTTATAGGTCCAGTCAGACACAGCTCAGAACTACACCATTTATTATTCTGCGAGTGGACCAGGAATTGATCAAGATCCAAAGGGTTTGTTTTACATAGAAAGAGAAACTGGAAATATCTTTGCTACTCGTGCAGTAGACCGTGAACAATATCCAAGCTTTCAGGTACAGGCCTAAATTGTGTATATATAATTAATTTTTATTTCTGTCATGCATATATTTGAAAGCTGAGTTAGAGAGGAAACTGTGAGCAGACAAGATCTGGAATCAGCTGTTCCATGTAACATCTTTGGTGTTGGAGAGAGGAAATCAGTGATAAATAAAGAAATAGCTTATCATCTAGATCTTGAGAGTAGTTTTACTTTTAACTGCTTAGACTCTAATTACAGCATAAATGTAGTGAGGTACTGGATTTGCATCACTTCTGGAAAGAGTTTGAAGTTATCCCAGAGTTTTTCAGGGAAGGTTAAAAAGGTCTGCATAAAAACAAAATCATGAGAAACTCTAGACGGCTATGGTTTTTTGAGCTTCTCTCTCAAGCTGTTCGCTTTTGTTATTTTTGTTAACAAGGTACACTGCTCTCTCTACTGGCTGAGAAGTGTAAGAAGGCAGTTAGTAGAAACAGCTCCTAAGCAGTTAGGTAATTTGCAGTACCTGTTACTGCGTATTTTTAGATTGTGTTGGAATGGGCAAGTAGTTTTGCTGTTGTTCTTGGTTTTGTTCTAAATAGCAATATTTACATCTAAATTTTTGGTAAGTCTGAGATTGCCTCATAGACACCTGGAAAAAATGTATTCAAGAGGCTTGGAAAAAGTTTTTGACAGAGTTGGGGGGGAAAAAAAAGAAAGTGATTCAAATACTTGTAATGTGAGGAATGGAAAGGGGAGAGATTGGAAAGTATTTAAAGGTGTTGTGTTGCTGTCATCGTTAAGATATCAGTCACTTCCCCTGCCATGTGGCTGAAGAGGCTTACTTGACAGACTGTATTTCACTTTATTGACTTCTCCATTCAACTGAGAGTGTAGTAATAATTCATGTTGCTTGAGCATGAAGCACATTACTGAATTTATGTCTTTCAGATCATTTGCTTTGCAACCACTGCGGATGGTTATTCACCAGAGGTACCACTTGTGCATACAATCAGGATAGAGGATGATAATGATAATGCCCCATATTTTACACAGGACGTTTTTGAGTTTCTTGTCCCTGAGAATTCCAAACCTGGTAAGAATTGTTTTAAATCAGTGAACACAGTTGCCACTCCTCAGCTCGGTTATGTACCAGTATGACTAGGTGTAATCCTGCCTTTTAATCAATTTCAGTGGGATTTCCTGAGGAACATTTCTTTACAGCAAAGGCTGAATTTGCAAAGAGCAGCTCAAGATGTCTTAATGATGAGAAATTCCAAAATGCCATCTCAATCATAGAGAGAAGTATTGTGTAAAAAAGAAATTTTTAAAAACTGAGATGATTCAGTGTTCCTAAAAAGATGTATGAGCTTCAGAACATTATTCTTTTCATTTTGTCCAAAATCATCTGTTTCCATAAAATGTTTTGATTGACAGAACAGCAGTTTTTAACAGATTAGTTTCCTAAACAGGTAAATCAATGTTATTCTAAGGTGTAAAATGCCTTTGATTAAGCTCACAGTGCTTCTGCCCATACCTGTAAAAGGCAGGGATTTGCCTGTTGCTGACGTCACGTGTCTGTGCAACAGAGGACAAAAGCAGAGAGAAGGATGGTCCCCAAGAGAATAAGGAATGTAAAAGCCATGGCTTGCCATTCCCTCGCTCATCTCCTAGGCTAGGGGTATTGGAGTGAGGTAAGCCTAACTTGCTTCACAAAAAAGGAAGCAAAACATCTTGCCCTTCACCCCTAAACACCAGTTGCATTTCATTCTCTGAACTGTTGTACTTCTTACTGGGTGAATTACTGATCTACAGTGAACTTCCAAAACCACTTGGGCTGTAGGGATGGAGTACAGCAGCGTTCCAGAGAAGCATTACTGCAGTTTGAACCATGTTAGAAAGCACCAAATCTCCCCCTCATCCACCCTGGCAGCTCCTTCTCAGCTGTGTTTGGGATGCTCAATTAGAAGTCACGATCAAGACCACTACCTGAAATCTAAACTTTTAGTATTTCTTTTGATTCTTCTTTGTGACAGCTCCAATAATTACAACTTTTTCTAAGGAGAAAAAGTAGCCAGAGGATTAAAATAGACAATTTTACACTTTTACTGTATTTTCACTACTTTTTACTGTGTTTTCAATGTTATTTTCATTTAGAGCTACATGACTGAATAGCTGTTTTCATGTATCTAAATAAGAAATACCTGTTCAAATAATATTTGATTATTTAGAGATTTTTCTGGAACTAAAAATTGTTGTGTTTCGTTCACAGGTATAATTGTTGGAAAAGTGACTGCAGAGGACAGAGATGAGCCTTACACTCTGCATACTACATTGAAATACCGCATTGTGTCACAAAATCCACTGCTACCCCCAGCATTTTCTTTACATGGTGACACAGGTGTCATTTCTGTATCATCACCACAGCTGGATAGAGAGGTGATCTTTCCCAAAGCATCTTTAGCTGTCATCTAGGGCACACCGATAAGCTTCTTAACTCTGAATTGCTGGCATGGGAATCACCAGATAAATAATTTCTGGTACCCTTTTATTGTGTCCCTGTCTAAGGAGCTTTGGAAGCTTTCCAGAGACCTGTAATTGGTCCAAAGAGTTTCTGCATAGATCTACCGTATTCTGGCTAATCTTGTCAGGGGACCTGCTGCTGCTCTCTTACTTGACCTATGGATTGAAAATCCTATGGATTTTTATTCTTGCTCTGTTCATGGATCCCATGAGGCACTGTTTCCTCCTAATCAAGCTCCATTTGAGGTGCTTCTTGCCTCCTTATAGGGAAGATGAACCAGCTTTTCTGAAAGTAGTCAGTCATCCTATATTCAACAGAAATATCTCAAAAATCTGAAACCTAAACAGTAATATAACATTTCCTAAAATTGAAGTGCAAACCATTTATTCTTAGCAGCTAGCTTTCAAGTAAATAAGATGCAGGGGGTTTTAGTTTTTATTTTATTTGAGTTTGATTTTTTTTATAAAATATCATGTGAGAGATTATTTACACTAGAAAAAATGACAGACGTGTATTTCAAAATAATATTTCTAGCATAAGACAGTCTAGAAAAAAACACTGCTACAGGCACATCTTTTTTGAGGATAAAAAGAGTCATATTCTGGCACACTTATGTCTCTTCATGGCAGAAAATCGGCCTTAGCAATGTGTTGCAAAATTGCGCACTTGCGGGTACACTGCTCAGCTTCTTTAGCAAGAGAAAACCCAACTGTGAGCATCGCCATGAGTACTAAGGAAACAGTCACAGTGACTACTGAGGGAAGGAAAGCTTTAAAAATGAGTCCTCTGCTTATCTTTTAAAGGTAAACTTAAGAAGTAGAACAGGAGATCTCTTTCCTCCGCCTGAGGAACTTAATGCTACTTCCAGGCATTTGGAAAGGAAGTTAATGTCTTGATTTACAAACTCTTGTTTTGTACCCAGTCCCCCTGGTCCCCCTTCCCTGGGTTGTGCAGGCATTAATAAGGCTAAAAAAAGCTGTCTGCTATTGTGACTCAAGTCGGGGATTTAAGTGGGCTGCTTATCAGTGATCCCTCTGGAACTGATAAGGGCACTGACTCCTTCCATGTCAGACAGTGCCAAATGGCAGACACTACCTTGTCATGTGTAGCCCAAACAAAGGCTGATGGCAACACCATTTCTGGTCTTCCTCACTGAAGTAAGAGACATGCACTGAAACAATTCACCAGCTGGAAACTTAAGGGAATACTCGGCCGCTCCAAAGGGGAGAAATAGATAGCAGGTTAAAGTGCATGATTTGCGTCTTCCAGAACTATGTGTTGGAAGATAAAGCTGACATTGTGAGCAGCTTTATTTTATACAAAATACAGCATACAAGTTATGAACAGATCCTGATTTCAGTGCTGCTTAGCCACTGAAAAATATTTTACTTGTTTTCCTTTTGGACCTATAGGGAAAAAGCCCCAAATCTAATTGCCTCATTTTGTAGGGGAGCACTGAATTTGGAGCAGGGTTGGGCAAAGGGAGTAAAATATTTTATTCTACTCTTGTGTGTAAGTATGTGATTAAAAAAAAGTATGTCAAACTTCTGTATGCTTTTATTCATCTTTTCAGCTGGTACCCAGTTACACTTTGTTAATTGAAGTGAGAGATATGGCAGGTCAGCCTTTTGGTTTGTGCACTACAGGAACAGCTGTCATTAAAATCGAAGATACAAATGACAATGCACCATGCTTTAAACAGATGCAAGTAAGTCTTCATAAATGAAATGTCTGTAAAAAGGTAAAAAAAAAAGGTAAAAAAATAATATTGCTATTTTTATCCGCTTTGTAATTTCGTGATGGGCAGTCCCTCAAATATGAAGCCTAATGCCCTGAGACAGTTAATGCCACTATAGACGTTTGAGAATGCCCTGTTGGTTGTTGTGCTGTTTGGTAGCTAGACCTATTGGTATATTAGTTGTTTTGAGTCATTTGCCTTTTGTCCATTGGGAGAAAGCTGACCTGAGTCATTCGTTCACTTCTGCTGCAATGCATAGTCTTAGAAATTCCATAATTTAACCACCTTCAGGGAGGGGACAGATTCTCTCCTAAGCATTGTCATGACCTCATTACCATTTGACCAGCTTTTGGCTACTTCTGTGTGCAAACGAAAATGTTAGTGTCGGTGAAGTAGATGCAAGGATTTTTACTGAGATTTTCTATGCTTTTCCAACTTTTTTTGTCTTCCACAGAGGTATAATTTAAACCATTTGTTGTTCACCAATGGCTATAACTCAGCCTTAAGTCTTTGCTTATTGTAGCCATCTGAATTATTCAAGACAGAACATATGTCTCAATAACCATATATACAGCTCAAATACCACAGGAGATTTTGTAATACGAGATTTATGAAAAATAATTCATTATCCATGAGGAATACATGTACTTTATCCTTTCCACTCACTGCTGTAGAATATATAAGTAATACTAATTCAGAATAACTCTTACCTGGGCTTCTTGAGTTTGTACAACACAGCTCTTCAAAAAGATAAGAAAATAAGAAAAAGCCTTTCATCCTTAGCCATCCAAGTAGAGATGTATTTCACCCTTCTTGGCTTTTTTTCAAGTTCTTGTGGGTTTTTTTAATATATATTTTTTTATTTTTTCCGAATGCCTTTTCTAATGCTCAGCTTGATTGTGTTGTACACAAATTAGCATCTATAACTGATGTAAGTGAGGGGAGCTGTGCTAATTTACCTTTCTTGGAAAGAGGATTCTAGACTTAATTATGTCAGTGACAGTTTGCGTACAAAGGAGCTGAGATTTCAACTGTGCTGGCAGGAAAGGTTAACCGTTTCACTTAGGGTGTACGGGACGAGTGGGGGAAATATGGTAATGCATGAAAAGAAAATAAATGATAACAACAGCTTGGTAAATTGACCTCTTGTGTTTAAGTAGTCTTATTTAAATAGTGTTCTTCAGTCCTGCATAGTGGAACAGTGTTCTCTGATTTAAATTGATTATTTTTTTTTTAATACTCTAAGTACGAAACACGAGTGGAGGAAAACAGAGTGAATGTAGAAATACTAAGAGTCTCTGTTGTTGATCTTGATGAACCTGGTTCACCTGGCTCAGGAGCAGTGTATGAAATTATAAAAGGAAATGATGATCGGTCCTTTGAAATCACAACAGACAGAAACACAAATGAAGGAATACTGTGTGTTGTTAAGGTAAGTAAAAATTGAAGCGTTAGAGGAAAATTCGTGTGTCTTCAAGTGTTGCTTTTAAAACCAATAATCTGGAACGCATTCAAAGAGTATCTCTAACTATCATGCTTTCTTCCTGATCCTAACTCTCTTCTAGAGCAGATCGCATAATGCGCTGCAAATGAGGCTTGTGTGTGGTACATAACCTACAAAACTCATCTTCCAGACTACTCCTCAGTTTTGTGTGTGCGGAATTTAAGAAATTCCCTTTGGTTTGTCATTCCAAAAGAGCTTGATGCTTTTGCCTGGTTCCGCAGTTGGAGTTGTTTAGACTTAGGGATGTAACTGAGGAATGCTTCATGGCTGAGTTTTTAACAGGAATGGAGGCGCGGCAGAGGAGGGGAGGGATGAGCACCTCCTCCATTCTTGTTCTCTCTGAGAGTTGATTGAACTTACTAACTTAGCATAAAACTCTCCAGGTTTTTTTTTGCAGGGTAGTGAATTCAAGTTTGCTTTTCTGGGGTGTGAGGGGGTCCGCATACACAAAAGACTATGTGTTAGTTCAGTTACTTGTTATACCCAGTACTTTAGAGATGTGAGGTGGAAGGACCACTGTACCTGTACTCCAGCATGTCCCTTTGCCTCTTCATGCTGCTTTTGCATTATCTGTTAAAACTACAATAACTGGTAACTTCTAAGGAGCAAAGAAGATTAATATTAAAATTTTAAGATGTAAATCATAAGGGTAGAGATGACAGTTAAATTTGAGGGTTTTTTATTTATTATGGTTTTTGTTGCTGGTAACCATTAGAGCTTTTTCTAAAGCTGTGTCCCTGCTATACTAACCCGTTTGAAATTTCTTATATTTAGTGTAATGCTGTAGTAGACTAGAGAGTATTATGACTTTAGGATATAAATCGCTCTATTAAAGGCATACGATGACTTTGAAGAAGCTGTCTGAAGAGTAAATGGTAGATACTGATCAACGTCACAAGTTCAAATGTATTTGCAATGGGTGAAGTTTTACTTGGAAATAAATGTAGGCGCTAACAAGAAGCGTGATTGACTTGTGCTGGAAAGGAAATATGTGTGACATAAAATAGTGGCCAACTGGATATGGGAGGAGATGCACACCTCCCTGTCCCCATTTCATTCTTATCTCAATTCTATTAGTAATTGACTATCAGAGTATTCATCTAAAATTTTGCAGTGGTGCTGCTTACCTTATTAGGAGTAGTTCCTCAGGTTCTTTTCTTTGACTAACTTAGAACTTAACGTTTTTCTTTAAAATTATGTCCCTTTATTGTGTCTCAAGCTGGTTATTCCAGAAGAATAGCTGACTTTCTTTGTAAATAGATGTGGTACAGTTTTATCTATTTCATAATTGGGCAGTGAAAACAATACCAAGTTTTGTATTTATTTGAAGGAGAAAAACCAACACCTCACCTTTGTTACAGGGACTGGACTATGAAAATGCCAAGCAAAGGATCCTCGTGATTGCGGTCAACAACGAGGCACCCTACGTGCTGGCGCCACATTCACAGCAACTTTCCCAGAGCACCAGCTCTGTTACAGTGCATGTCCTGGATGTGGATGAGGGGCCGGTGTTTAAACCCTGTTTCTTACGCCTAGAGGTTAAAGAATGCGAGGAGATTGGGGCGAATATTGGGAGATACATAGCAGAAGATCCAGAAACTGGAAATAGTGAAGGCATATGGTATGAAACAACCTTATCTACTAGTTTATTTGGAGTACAGCTGTATATGTGTGTGTGTACATACACACACGTGAGTGTATATGAATACATGTTTCTATATATGTATGTGTATGTATGTATATATACATGTGTATGTGTATATGTGTATATATACATGTGTATGTATATTTGAGATCTTTAACTAAACAAACAAATAATTTTTGACAGCTACCGGATACCACCTGGCCAATGTAATTGGATCAGCATAGATGAAAAATCAGGTGAAGTCAGAACCATTAAAGTCTTGGACCGAGACGTAGGAGAAATGAGACGAGGTCAATGCAATATCACCGTCCTCGCAATAGACAGGAGTGAGTACTAAATGTTGGCAGTATTCTTTGTGGTCTATAACAGATGTTTATGTGCAAATTAGTGTCGGGACAGCTATACTGGCATCTGTCTATAACAGATGTTTATGTGCAAATTAGTGTCGGGACAGCTATACTGGTTCAGATGAGAGGCCTGCTAGTCCATTGTCTTGCCTTTGGGATAGCTCTATCAAATGCCCAGGAAATACTATACAGCAGGGAAAGCATTTAAGAAGTTGGGACAAATTCTCAATGTTTTCAAATGTTATCTGCTCCTATCTAAAATCCTTTGTTAAGTTTAACTTGAGAGATTTTCCTGTAGATTTTATTCCTTTTATTTCCTATTTTTTTTCAAGTGGTAGCATCTGGCAGCTCTGAAGTTGACAACAGAGAAAGTAGAGAGAGAGAACGTTTTGAAGATAGTTGTTGACCTTGCAACTCTTACTGTTTCCTCCTCTGTTTGACTTCTTGGTGTCTTGCTTTTGGAATCGCTTAATTTAAAAGGACCTCTAAGAATAGCTGTATTCATTGCTGTATGTTATTGCACTCTTGGTCATTTAGGTTCTGTAGCAGTGTTCACACTGTGTGTTGCTCAGGTGTCGAGCTAATATAAATTACTCTGATTGTAAAGGAACGGGTTGTATGCTCAGATTCTCATTCTAAAACAGGCTTTGATTCTGATTCAATGTGAGTGATTGCCTATTCTTTCTGATTCATTTAGGTATATGCATTTATTGTAGAAAAGGACATAGTTTTGCCTCAACAACATTTAGGCAAGAAGATTAAATATACCTTTCACTTCGCAAATGCTAAATGTAGCAAATGAATTATCAAGGAAAAATGTTAGGCTTATAGGTCACACTTTTAATTCTAAAATATGTATCTTACATTAAAAAGGAAAAATGGACTGCCTTTATAAATCCAGTGGCAGGATTTAGTTTAAGCCTAAGTACTCAGTGAGAGTAAAGAGCAAACCTTTGGAAGCTGCTTTACAGCTAAAAATTCTAACTCTCTCCAAAGCTTGCATATTAAAATTAAATGTAAATAATATGAATTTAAATTGTTTAGAAGTTCTGTTGCATATAAACATGATATATGCACCTGCAATCAGGTATCTCTAAAGAAAGTTTTAAAAAGTAGACTTGATGTAATTTCACTGGAATGTATATACAAGCATTGACCATTCCTTTATTGGAAAAAATGTAATTAGGAGAGAGCTCATTCACTGCTTGCATGTAAACTTTGGTGACATAGTGTGTGTCACTGCTGAATCCTCCTACAGCTTGTTGACTCAGAGGGAAGAGGACAGAAAGAAACCCACTGTTCCTGAAAATGTTTGTGTTCTCAGGGGAAGTGA